AACTACGTGTATTCACTGAATTTCACTCTCTGCCTTTAACGGCTTGTTGTAGCTCCAATAGCTCCAGCCCCCACCCTCCCTGTGAGCACAGTGTGCTCTGATTGGTCGGGACGTTGTGAATCGCGCTGAGCTCCGTGGAGGTGTTGTTTCCTTGTTTAGCGATACACAGCCAAACACAGCCAAACTCACCCTGAGCACACACAAAGTCACAGCCGAAGTAAAAACAATAAGTGTGGCTTGATATTGAGTAAGAAAAAGGTTGATAAACGCTGTGAGAATGGGTCTACAGAGAGAATGGGTCTGCAGAGAGAATGGGTCTGCAGAGAGAATGGGTCTGCAGAGAGAATGGGTCTGCAGAGAGAATTTCGCCGCGATCCCAACTGTCTGTTATCAGCCTGCAGCCAGGGAGGAGAGATCAGCAGAGCTGCCTGCACTGAGTGTGTGTGTGAGGAAGTCCGTGGATTGGTCAATTTGGACCAATCAGCGTGGGCTTAACATAACGGCTCCACGGATTGGACCATTTCGTTTCGGGTACGGTTGACATCATGAGTACCCGGAAGAATCAAATGGACAGTGATGTATCTCCAACGAGGCGTTTTGGGGAGGTATTTTCTGTGTTAGAGTTTTACTCGCTACAGGGTGTACTTTGAGGGTTTGTGACTCTGCAGACCGTTTACATGCATAACAACCTTCATAACACACAAGGGGACGGGTAATAACCGGAAAAGCATGACATGGGACCTTTAATAAATGAAATATTAAAAGAAAGAACATAATACTTTCTGCTATTATTATATCCTATAAATAAGAGTGAAACACCCAAAAGGAAAAGGCTGTACACAAGAGGCAAACATGGGTATAAATGTACTGGATGGACAGCCTGTATGATATTACAGATCACACTAAGTACATTCATTTTTAATATTTGGAGCTAAGAAAATAGGTTCTACTCTACAAGAGGTGTCTTTATGTCAGGAATAATTTCTCTACAAGAGACGGATGAGAGGCAGAGAGAGACGTTACTATACATCGGGTCGTAGTTTGGAATAAACAGATTTATAGGTTGTCGAGCATTATTTTATTCCAAGACCATTCAAAAGCAAAACAGGCTGATCGTTACAATTGGAGGAACTTCACCTCAGCCGTTCGGCTCTATAGTTGAACATACTTACAAATACAAAAAGATTAAAATGAACTGATGATATGCAACTTATTTTACAAACCAGCCACTTCTACAACCTGCTTTGTCCCGGACACAAAACCAGTGTAAGTGAGGTGAAGTGATGTCATTAGGGTTGCCAGCCGGGCATTAACCTCGGCACCTTTAAACATAAAGCAGTGCCACATTCATCCAGACTGTTGTGTTCAAAACATATTATTGACTTGATCAAGCAGATGTATGTAACACGCCTCTTCAGAATCTTGATATGTATAGTTTATGTTGGGGTCTGACACATAAAGAGAGCTTTCTTTTTTCTATTCATAGTGAACGTGTCAAACTACTCTTCATCCTCGCAGCACTTTGGGATCCAAGCCTCGGTCCGTAGCTAGTCGGCTCTTTTCAGAACCTGTCAGTTATGTTGTTTTGCATAAAGCACCTTTCTTCCCCGTCACTGTACAAAAGGCAAACCACCTACAAGCTTCACTCGGCTTTTTTTTAACATTTAAAAAAGGCTTTAGGATATTTCTCCAAGACGACATGTTGAATGCTGGTTAGCTAGGTAGAATCCATCTTGATGAGCAGGCTTTCTAAAGAGCGCACGCTGAGGCTCTGAAGCCTGTTGGATACGCCTCTTGTATTTTAGAAAAAGCCTATATGCCAACTGCTCTTTTGAAAATAAAAAACAGCTGCCAGTCTGCCACCTGATAAACACTCTTTAATGATGCAACAGCTACAAAAGTCCATTCTTGCTTAGTACAAAAACAACATTGTCAAATGTTCGGAAAAAGCAATGGCGTTCTGATCTGTCATTTTAAGGTGCTGGTATAGGTCATGTCAAACCGGAAAGAAGCAGTAACAACGAGTACAAAGCCGTCTCCTATAAAGACTACTTGATCTTCAGAGTTTCAGCACTATCATTTGGGACACTTTCCAACTTTCTCCACATTGACATTTCCATTCACAGAGCCAACACCAAGGCTTTCTTCTGTCTCCATAAATCAGAACGCAAGATTACAAGAAATGTTCAATTCATGTTGGCATCTGATTTTTAACTGATGAAAGCTTTCCTGAATACCATAGCTTACAATCCTATTTTCACACGGATGTAAGCGTGTGGTTTCCTCGATTGGGTTTTTAGTTTGCAAGCAACTCTAAACAGTCAGACTAACAGCACCGCTCGGGGCGCATTTACAATTTCTCCAACTCAAGAATACGTAGTGATCAAAGCTGATGAGGGCTTTGCATTTGTCGGAAAATAAGGTTTGAATTTTTTTTTTTTTACCAGGTGCATAGAATAAAAAAGGAAAAATAAAAAAGGGAAAAGCTGTGTGTGAATACAAACACACTTCAAGAATTTGGTCGTACAGCTCAACGCCCGTAAAAGGAACACATTCTCTATTATCAGTTTGAGTCAAATATGAAATAAAATGTCACCCTACTACATAAACTGACCAAGCGCCATGCACACCAAGCGTTTAAAACCTCTACTGTCAATGCAAGACTCAAACAATGCCAATTAGATAGATAGCAGGGGTAATTATACAGAAATGGCCAGCAGTGTGATGTTACCATAACACTAAAACAGGTAACAAGAGGTAGAACACACGGCCATTTCCATACAATTACACCAGTGTCACGCAATATGGCCGAGCCTCCTGCTTCCATTGAGGAACATACATCTATAGAAGTCATACCGACGTTCTGCTATCAAAAGTGCATCCAAATGTACATGTTGTGAGACCAGCACCGATAAGAACAATAGTGACATCATAACAGTAAGTACATGGTTTTCAGAATGCCCCACAAACACAGTCAGTCGGATTTCGAGTTGTTTTACAGGTTATGAGTAAAAAGGGTCAAACGGAGACGTCGTCAGAAGGGAGAGAAAAGATCCTCAACAGGATGAAGTATCTTTTTTGTTGTTTTTGTTGATAAAAAGTCTTGTTGACCAGTCCAGTGAGGATTTAAGGTGTCTTACAGTGAAAACTTCTAGCACCTGAATCCAAGGTGTCCTTTTTGTGCTTCCATGTGTTTTGAATATCAAATCATGTAAAAGTTTGTAATCTTGTTTGGCTAAGAAAGATTTTGTGTTACAAAGGATACAACAAGTTTTTAGGCTATAAAATCTACAAATGACCACAAATGCTTCATCCCGTTAGAAAGGCATGAAGGCGCTGATAAGCACTAAGAAACGCTACTAAATGCAACATGCTAAAAAACAACAACGAAAAAAAACCCTGATTATCTACCCCTATAAACGACCCACATGTACGTGAGGCAGCCCACTGCTAAAATGTCTTGGTTAAAAATGATGCATAGTTAGAAAATATAGACTACTCACGTCCAATCAACACTATGCGAACCTCTGCGAGCTTAACTTAGTAGTAAAACTTAGATGGGATGTTAGGAAATGTATAGAATTATTAGTAAGACCGTAACAGTCTTAGAAGGCAAGAGAACATTTATTATCTTTATACAAATAGACAGTGTTAATTTAGACTACATGTGGGCAATTAAAAAAAAATCTCTATATTTTCAGCATCCTCAACTGAAAGCTTATTCAAAATATACCTTATTACCAACATTACTATATCATAAAAAGACTCACAAAAAGTCATTTGCATAAAACCCAAGCGTTTGTGCGACAACTGCTCTTAGTTCATGGAGCAAACGACATTTTTTAGGTGAATTTCAATCAGTTTTACTCCTACATGTTGCAGCTTTCACGCCAATGTACCGAATGCCTGGATATCGAGACGCCACACAAATATCCCGCCCTGACAAAGAAACTGCAGAAAACACTATCCTGCTGCTATATACAATAAAACATACAGGTAGGGTTAATGTGTAAAAAAGGAAAGAAAAAATATACATTTATCACAAATGCCTAAAACACGAGTCAGCTACATGCATAATTATACAAAACTGATTGAAATTAAGTTAGACTATAAAAACAGACAAAAAAGGATTTTATCAAGTTCCCCTCTACGTTCATTTCTAAATGATGTGTCTTTTACAAACACGGCTCAGGCTACATCAGAAAGGTATCCTTTTTTGGGAACCGGTCCCAAAAACAGTCGGCATGGGAACACTAGTGTTACTGATGACGTCAGTTTAGCCTAAGAAGAAAGGCAGATAAAATTGCTGTTTTTAATTGTTGTATCTAAACACTTAACCCCTTAGAATAAACTGAAAGGTGTTGGTCCAAGGGTTGTAGTAAATGAATTGTCACCAGATTTGGCATTAACTGGTCATCTGTGTCCATCAAAGAAAAACACTGAAACCCCCGTCATATTTCAAGGTTCCCACAGAAATGACAACAGAAAGGTGGTCTCCAATGGCACTTCTCATCACATAGTGCCCTTTGTGAAAAATCACACATAACCCCCAATATATTAAGTACGTTTGTCCTGATTGAAGAACCCAGTCCAGTCAGTGCACTTTGCTTTGATTGGCGGATAAATAATGTTTCTTAGAGGGGCAACTCTTTAGGCATATCATATTTACCAGCCCCTCCCCCCCTCCTATTTATCTTTTGATGAATTTGATCCTTCTCCCTTCAAGCACCAAAACCCTAACAAACTATAGAAGCAGGAGAAAGAGGGTAAACGGCTTCTTCCAAATGATAAATAACCTAATTTAAAATGATACGGCCCATTGGTTTAAAAAGTGTAGTTTTTTTCTATCAGTGTACAAACTTGTCCTTTTGCTTCCATACTTATTTTCACAAATAATAGACACACACTTATGAACAACATAAAAATAAAACCTCTTTCAACACAAACCCCAAGAAAGAGGGACGCTTTAGCATCTTACAGTCTAATCGCTGGCTTAATTTGGGTGGGTCCGGGGCCGAAGTACAATTGTAGACGTGTGGGTCACTGACAGGTCAGTATGGTAGGGATCACTATGTGAAGCCACTGTATCTACAGCTGACAGTGAGACAGCGAGGGCTAGTGTGTTCCATCAGTGGGGTCTCACCCACGCCAACCTGGGGCTGTCTGCTCTCAGGCAAAGTACATGGTGCGCAGGGTGTCCTGGTGGATCTGCACGGCCTTAGCCAAGGCCTGTTGGTCCCGCCCGTTACTCTGGCCCGATGTATGACTGCCCTCCGCACTGGAACAGGAAAAAATGAATAAACTGTTTATTTCAGGGTTTTCATTCACTTCTGATCTGGGAGAGATTTAACAGAAATAGGGATGTCAACGGTTACCATGTTAAAAACCGAGAATATTTGTGATCGGTCAGTCAACATTTTAATTTAAGATACATAGGTTAATGCCACTAAAAGATCCTTTGCATTTTGTATTACATGTCATTTTGCACCTTTTTCTTGAATAATGAGTTACCTGATAATGTTTTGTGCTATCAAAAGCTAAATTGTCCAAAACTGACATAAGTTATCAGGATAAATGGACAGAAAGTGCTGCCCTCACCTGTCGTGCTCTTTGTCCACCAAGTGATAGCGAGCTCTGAAAGCCACCAGATGGGCGTAGTAAGCTGGTGCTGGGATGGAGACTGAGCGGGTGCAGCGCACATAGGTGTGGCAAAGCTGATAGGTCAGGACCTGCAGTTCATCTGCAGAGAAGTGGTTGTCGTCCCAGAGCACGTGGTAATGAGACGGCCTGCTGGTACCCTGCAAACAGCGATCAGACCACAGGCGTTCATGCATAATCCATTCAATTTGCCCTTCAAAATGTGTATACCTTTTATTAGATACTTCACAGCACAGTGACATCTTTTGTTTCAGTTACGCTCGTTACCTGAATTGCCAGCGTGACTGCAAAAGGTAGAGGTCAAATCGATGGGGTGAGGTGATTTGGTGTCCATGTG